AACGCGCATCCCATAGCTTTGCAGTCGTATCGTAAGAACCTGAGAGAAGTAGGTTTTCAAAGGAAGTGGAACTGCCTATACACCTCACGCTGTCTGCATGCCCCTTCAATTCTAACGACGCCTCTCCTGTTTCTAAACTCCATTCCCGCACCACCTGCAGCAACAAACCCTAAACCCTAAGCCCTAGGCCTTCGTCAGAAGGCCTCAGCTGCGCCGAGGACCCGATCGGTGCGTCTCCCTGCTCTGATGTTAGCAGTTACTAGGGCCTAGGGTTTAGGGTTTAGGGTTTAGGGTTTACGGTGTCGTCTCCAGCAGAGAACAGAGAGCCGCGGGGTTTTGAAAAAGTAAGAGCTCTTGTTTGCAGTTACTAGGGCCTAGGGTTTAGGGTTTAGGGTTTAGGGTTTACGGTGTCGTCTCCAGCAGAGAACAGAGAGCCGCGGGGTTTTGAAAAAGTAAGAGCTCTAATTGAAGAGGGCCGAGGGTTTACAAACCTCCGGAGGGTTTGGTTGGAGTGTACAGACACCACGCAGCTCAAACCCGCCTCGTCTCCAACAGCCGCTAGCAACCCGTCTGCATACGCAAACCCTAAACCCTAAACCCTAAACCCTAAACCCCAGCCAGCACAGCGGAGACGAACCCGTAAACCCGCCCGCCGCAACAACTGCAGCAGCAGCAGCAAAACAACTAAAACACCAGCAGCAGCAAAACAATGGCAGCAGCAGCAACGGAAGCAGCTGCGATCCTTGCTCGCGCCAGCGCGCTCTAGGGCTTAGGGTTTAGGGTTTAGGGTTTAGGGTTTACCCTGTCTTGCGGCCAAAGCGGTGACTGGAGATTTAGAAGAGTGAAATTTGAGGGTGTTGCTGCTGTCGTTGCAGTTTATCTTATACACCCTAGTGCCCTCAGCTAGCAAGAAGCTGCTGCTTAGCTGCTGCTGCTGTTGCTGCTGCTGCTGCTGCTGCTGGCGTTGGCTGCTGCGCTGCAGCAAAGCCTCAAGGCTCTCCCCTTCTCCCTCCTGTTCCTCCTCCAACTCTGCTGCTGCTTCTGCTTCATTGTTGTTGCTGCTGCTGCTGCTGCTGCTGCTGCGCTGCTTCTGCGGAAGGAAGCAGCAGAATCTAACAGGCCCACCGAAGCTGCCTGTACACTCCAAACTAAATGCCTTCTGCAGCCGCCTCGATCCAGTTAAGGGGCCCCCACAACTCAAAGGATCTGCTGCTGCTGCTGCTGCTGCTGCAGAGCCGATTACCAGCGGCTGATACCGCCCACCTGCAGACCGAGGCATCCTTGCCTGCTGCTGCTGCTGCTGCTGCTGTTGCTGCTGTTGCTGATGCTGCTGCTGCTGTTGTTCTTGCGGCTGCTGTTGATACTGCTGTCCCCGGTACTGCTGCTGCTGCTGCTGCTGTTGTTGGCAGTCCCCCGCGCATTGGCTGTGGTTCTGCTGCTGCTGCTGCGGCTGTTGCTGTTGCTGCTGCTGTTGATGCTGCTATTGCTGCTGCTGCTGTTGCTGCCGTTGCTGCTGTTATTTAGGCTGCTGTTGCTGCTGCTGCTGCTGCTGCTGCTGCTGCAGGGCCTCCCTTCGAGCCGATGCACTCCGTGCCGGGCAGCTGCAGCAGCGCGCTTTGAAAACCCTAAACCCTAAACCCTTATCCGTAAACCCTAAACCCTAAACCCTCAATTTGAACTTCCAAAAGTATTTCAACTGCAGATTACAAGAAGCCTCAAGGGAAATCCCTCAGCCGCCGAAGACTGTGGGGCGGCAACGACGCATGCAGCAGCAGCAACAGCAGCAGCAGCAGCAACAGCAGCAACAGCAACAGCGGTGTCTTCTACGCGTTTCTTGACTACACAAAGCATTGACTTTCTATTTCTTGAATTTAAAGCCCGAAGGTTCGGCGCCAATCGCTGTGTGTTGCTGCTGCTGCTGCTGTTGCAGCTGCTGCTGCTGCTGCAGTAGAAGGAAGGCCCATAGAGGAGTCGGGGAGCAGCAGAGCGACCCCTGGAGCAACAGCAGCAGCAGCAGCAACAGCAGCAGCAGCAGATGAAACAGGGTTTGTTGAGTTCTCCTTTCCTCTCCCTTGCTGCTGCTGCCTGTGGTTGCGGCTGCTTCTCCTATGGCTTGCTGCAGCGGCGAGATAGACAGCTGCAGCAGCAGCGGGTCGCTGCTGCTGCTGCAGCAGCAACAACAGCAGCAAACCCCGGCTCTTCTCAACAGCAACTCATAAGCCCTGACCAACTGCAGCGACTGATGCTGCAATGCCGAGCTGCTGCCCTCAGCAGCAGCAATAGCAGCAGCAGCAATAGCAGCAGCAGCAATAGCAGCAGCGATATTTGCAGTGACTTATTGTATGCAGCTGTAGCTGCTGCAACAGCCCTAGCAGCGGTGGGCACCAGCAGCGTGAACAGCAGCAGCAGCGAGAACAACAGCAGCAGCGAGAACAGCAGCAGCAGCAGCAGCAGCAGCAGCGACATCAGCAAAGACTTCTGCATTGGCAGTGTGGAGTCTGCAGCAGTATTTGCGGAGCCCTTTTCACTCTCTTTGAATTCATTTAAAATTAAGAGAGGAGGGCGGCATCTGCTGCTCACGTACACCTGCCCGTACACCCCGGAGCAGCAGCAGCAGCAGCAGCAACAGCAGCAGCAAGTGCAGCAGCAGGCACAAGGTCATGTGTCCGGCCAGCTCAAGCTGTCTCTTCCGAAGCAGAAGCACATCGAAACAGCAGCAGCAGCAGCAGCAGGTCCCAGTGCGCATGTGGTGTCTATTGACGTTCTTTCTTCGGCTGTACGTCGAGGTGATTTAATATTATTTCAAAACCCTAGCGACCCAAAACTCCCTCTAAAGCCCCTTCTTCTTCTTTCTCACAAACAAACTCCCAACACAAACTCTAACACAAAATATATAAACACTCGGCCCGACCCCGAGGGGCCCCCAGACACCAGAGGGGCCCCCGAGGGGCCCCCAGAGGGAATAGGGGCCCCCGAGGGGCCCCCGAAGAATATGGGGGCCCCCGAGGGGCCCCCAAAGTCAATGGGGGCCCCTGAGGGGCCCCTAAAGGCTATGGGGGCCCCCGAAGGGCCCCTAAAGGCTATTATGGGGGCCCCTGAGGGACCCTCAGAGACGCCGGGGGGCCCCCTGGGGGCCCCCTTGGGGGCCCCCCAGGGGGCCCCCAGCGTGTGTGAGGGGGGCCCCCATTTAGGGAGTTTAGGGGTTTGGAACGAAGGAAGAGGAAATTCATCAGGGGCCCCCGAGTTGGCATTGGGCGGTGGTTTGATGCTGCTGGGGGCCCTAAAAGTATTTTTGCGCACCGCGCTCAAACGAGGGTTTAGGGTTTAGGGTTTAGGGTTTGGGTATCTATAGCAATATCTGCAACCATTAAACCCTAGAGGTGGGGTTTATAGTAAACCGAAGGGCCAGAGCTTAGGGCCTGGGCATTAGAAGCAAGGGCTTAGGGTTTAGGGTTTAGGGTTTAGGGTTTACATGATCGAGCATCGTTCCTCTTCGCTTTCCTCAGAGGCGCTTTCCTGTACGCAAACCCTAAACCCTAAACCCTAAACCCTAAAAAGGAGTGCCGAAACACTAAACCGTCGACGTGAGACCTTTATGCTCGCCGCTACAATTGCTGGGGTTTAGGGTTTAGGGTTTAAGGCGAGGGTTTACGGTTTGGGGAGCAGCTTTCAAAGAAGGGCTGCAGTTTTATAAGTAGGGTTTACGAACTAAAAGAAGGGCATACGGTTTACAGTTTCAAGGAAGGGTTTAGGGTTTAGGGTTTAGGGTTTACCTCGTGGTAGTCGAGCTCCCATAGCATTCCGTTGGAGAGGATAAGTTGGGCCATGTCGACGAACATCTGAGCCCAAACCCTAAACCCTAAACCCTAAACCCTTGCAAACCCTAAACCCTAATCATAAGCCCTAGCCCTGAGGCATAACCCTGGACCTCCTCGCTAATCCATAACCCTAAACCCTAAACCCGAGCGCATCTTCCCAGGTGTGCTGTACGGTGTTCGTGTAGGGTTTAGGGTTTTACGGTTTTAGGGTTTAGGGTTTAAAACGAGGGTTTAGGGTTTAGAATAAGGGTTTAGGGTTTACTCACTTTCTTTATGTTTTTCCCTGTGAACGCTGAGACCTGCCACAACCTGCAAAAAACCTGCTGCCTGACTCCAGCAGCAGCAGCAGCAGCAGCAGCAACAGCAGCAGCAGCAGCAACAGGAGCAACAGCAGCAGCAGCAACAGCAGCAGAACTGTCCAGCGGTGCTTCTGCTGCATGCAGAACACCAACCTGAGGCTACAGGGGTTAAGTGTTGGGGTTTGAGATTTAGGGCTAGGGTTTAGGGTTTAGGGTTTAGGGTTTTGACTCACGCGTAGAGCTCAGCGCGGCCAATCAGCCGCGATGAAACATCGCCTTGCGGATCGACGTCTGCAGCAGCAGCAGCAGCAACAGCAGCAGCAGCAACAACAGCAACAACAGCAGCAGAAGCAGCAGCAACAGCAGCAGCAGAAGCAGGAAGATCAGCTCGTAATGGCTGTTACTGCTGCTGTTGTTGCTGCTGCTGTTGCTGCTGCTGCTGCTTCATCCTGCAGCCTTGCAATCCCTGAAGCTGCTCCCTCGTTCTCGCGACCCTTCCTAAACCCTACACCCTCAAAACCCTAAACCCTTAAAACCCTAAACCCTTAAAACCCTAAACCCTTAAAACCCTAAACCCTCAAAACCCTAAACCCTGCCTGTTTTGTTGGCGACGAGGAAAATCACCGGCGAAATCATCGCCTGCAGAAACTCAAAAACCCTCAAACATCAAACCCTAAACCCTCAAACCCTAAACCCTCGAAACCCTAAAACCCTAACCCCTAAAGCCTTATACCCTTAGTCCCAGATAAACCCTACGCCGTACAAAACCCTAAACCCTAATCTATGCTAAACCCTCAGCTTTGCTACGCATCAAACCCTGAACCCTCAACCCTGCTAAGCCTTAAGCCTTGTCTAGCCTCAAACCCTAAACCCTAAACCCTAA